TCTGTAGAGTCCAAAAGCACTACATCACCAGGAAACCGTAAAAATGACATCCTAGTGTCACAAAACTGGATTCTCTCCAGGCCTTGGCTTGTGCCTTCATATCCTGTGCATGACTATCCACGCCTCCTGCCAGAATCAAAACTTTATTGTCCTTTCTGGCCCGTTGACCCTGGGTGCAGCGTTGTCCGGAGCTCTGTGCTCCTGGTAGGGACATCCGACTGGCCTCAGACAGCAGGAGGAAACTAAAAAAAAGCTCCTTCGGACAGTGTTTGAAGCACCTGAGAGAAGCTGGCCTCAGGTGGGGACAGGACAGTGTTTGTACTGTGTGTGTTTGCGGTTTCAAGTGGCTGGATGGACCAGTTTTGTGAGTCAGCCACAAGCCTGCAGTAATGTGCACACTCCAACGCTGCCGCCCCCATGACGCTCGGTCCCGCTCCAACAACGCTAGTCTGTCACCAGGCCACCATGATTGTTATCTACCCGATACGAAACACAGAATGTCTATTACTCATGTCCTGATCCTGTTCAGTGGAAGCCTGTCTTTCATTTACATCATTTATCAACACAACACGAGTCCATCAAAGTGATCAGAGATGATAAACAGCCAGAAAATGGTGGGAATGAGCCAGAGTTTCCACAACATGTAGCACGACTGATTAAAACATGTGAAAACCATGTGTCTTCAAGGGATGGACCATTCTTAGTGAACAGCTGGATGTTGACACTGTTTTTACCTTTGTCCTTGTGTTGCAACAACGCTGCGTAAGAGTTCAAATTGAATCAGTGGGTGTGTTGGAATCAGACTACAGGACCATCCTTCTTAGACAAATAGTGTCACACGTCCTCGCTGAGGAAACACTGCCGGGATCGTCTTTCCACTTACTGTATCTGAGTATCTGCTCTGGCTTCCCGGCTGCTACGTCGCTACACAAACAGCTGTGAGCATTAATCCACTGTAGAGGAGCGCAATGGACATCTAGCACTTGGACATAAACACCTCTAGAACTCTTCATCCTGTCATTTCTGCACCCTGTCCTCCCCTCGCTCCTCTGCTCAACCCTGCTTTGTGCTTTTGCTCTCAGGTTTGTTCATGTAGTTGACAAGAGTATGACTGGAATCTGATGAAGGCATGTCTCCTCCACCTGCCACGACAGCCCTGCAAAAGGCCAAATGGCAGCTATGTAAGTGTTCGTCAGGCTCGTGATAGCTCGAGGCAAACGTAATGGTAAACAGAAACTTGGGGCAGCAACTTGTTTACTTTGTCAAAATGCATTTCAGAGTTTGACACTTGGAAAACACAGACGTGCCTCCGATTAGCACAGGATAGTTGTTTGACTTGACTGAGTGCCAGTGTTTGAAGGTCAGGGCGTACATGTCTGTGGTTACACTCTGACACAAATATTAACACTCTTCAGCCATCTCAGTAAAGCCAGATGAGAAGCACCAAGAAACAGAAGAAGAAGAAACACTAAGTTCATATCCTACAGAGCATCTCGTCTTTGTGTGATCTTTAGGTGCTTCTTTCTCAGTTTGCAGCACCATGCCAGTAAAAAGATGAAGTGTCACGTTGAAAACAGGAAACAGCCAGATGAGTTACTTAGAAAACTGATCTACAAATTACTGATTTATTGCTTGTTGTTCACGATTCTTCATAGCAAGTTGTTGAGCAGATGACAGATTGAGTCACGTCCATAATCACCTGTTAGTGACATTAAGTAAACAATGCCATCCTTCTGTACCACAACCTTCATTTAAAGGCAGGTATCCTACCTGTTTTTCAGGCCCCCATACCCCCCCCACCCCCCTTTCCAAAGAGTTACCGTTTGTGATTTTTCTAGTTCTTCTGCCCTGCAGTCTTTTTCCTTGACGGAAACATTCAGACATGTGCCACACATACAAGATAAATGTGAACTGGAGATCGCTGGTGCTGATTAAAATGTCACAAAGGAATTTATTGTGAAACTGCTGCCTGTGCTGGTACTTTGCCAGCTCTGGGGGAGGCTGGCTGGCGAACCGGCAGCCGGCCTGCACAGTTCCCCCCCAGCGCTGACATGCCTCTCCTCATGTGCCCTGTGATTTCCTTCTTCACCGGGACTGCTGCCTTGGTTATTATACTAAATGGCCTCTTAGACGCACAGAGCATCTAATGTGATAAATGCACTTTTATCGTCTCCTTTGTTGCTGAGCACACCTTTAAATCTGTAAAATAAATATATATAATTTAATATAAAGGCTTAGTAAGAATGAATTACGTCAAATTATCTAGTTCTACTGTGAAGTAGATGACGGGACGCTGTGAGCCAACATCAGTCTTGGACGCCTGGTTTGATTATCACATACTTCTACCTGTGCCAGCATCTGATTAAACAGGTGAGCCCTATCATCTCAGGGAGTGTAGAGGCCTCATTCAGCAACAGTCTATTAAGACATCAACATGGACCCTTAACTTCACAATTAGCCTGCAGCAGGTGTGCATCACCTGAAGACTCCTCAACCCAAACAGGGCGACAGAGAAGCCGGTGACAGACTGGAGGAATAATTGGGGCAACAGTTCGCAGGATTCAGGGCTTAAATCTGCTGCATGCAACAATCTGTCAAAGTCAATGCAACTCCTTTTCTTTTTTATGCATTTTTAGCAGAATGATGTGTACGAATGGAAACCAATGGATTCCTGAAACTGTACTCAGATTCCTAAAAACACAGTCGTATATGCAAAACATGTCAAACTGCTGGTACGGGCCTTTAAATAATCCAGAGAAACAGGGTCTCTTGGTTTATAGCCCAGTCAGTGCCTTCACAACACAGAACACATCTGTGTGATTGGCTTTGTGTTACTGTCGCGTACGGAGTCGACACGCTGGCAAAAAAGGGGAAAAACCGACGCTTTGTTATTGCAGCAGTCAATAGTAACTTGTCTACATGAAGAGCAGTTTGTTTGCTCTCATCAACACTTCCGTTCATAGCGGTCATTAAGTGAGTGGAGCAGATTCCTGAGCCGACACGTAGCTCGTAGAACAATGCTTCACCTGTGTTGGTTCGCTCAGACGTGTGTGATTCAGCCGCACGGTCAACAGAGCAACAGTATATAATACTACGTGGAAAAGCCTTGTTTGCTCTGCATGTTTGTTTTTAGGTAGAAATAGTAACATTATCATCCGACTGTTACGCACTCTTAACACGGTGATGTTTATAAGGAACACTGAGCAGGAAGATTGTGTTAATGCTGTTTTCCCAACACACACTGCTGCAGGTCGCAGTAATGACAAACACAGACATCACAGCCAGACATTTGGTTTGGATTCTGAGCCTCGTCGTTTGCACGTACACTTTACCTCATACATGAAGCTGTTGCAGCGATCTGACGGCGAGTAACACACACTCAGGATGTCAGAGACCGGCAATAATTCAAGGCAGCGTGTGCACAAGCTTTGATGTTGAAACTCGAGGATTAAGGCAGAAACAGAGTCGGCGTGTATGTTGACATTAAAGCATCATCTGCATTGCAAATAATTTACAGCAAGCCAGCGTATACACCGTGCACACATTCCTCGACCTAAGGAATGTGTGCACGGCCGAAAACCAACAGCAGAACTGTGCACACCGCAGCTCTCTGTTCTCCCGAGTTTTCCTGAGCAGGGCTGGCTGGGACAGGCAGCGAGGTGGACGAGCAGTGAGGCAATTAGCGAGAGTAGTGATGTGCGTCCAGATGCCCGAGGCGACGCTCCGGTCCTGCGTTTGTGTGTCTTTACAGGCCCACACAGTCGCTGTCACAGCTCATTGACGACTAGCACAACACAGAGGCAGGACGGAGGGTCAGGAGGGGAGGAGAGCCGACGTTCGGTCATGCAGATTCAGCCAATGCACAGGTTCTGTTGTGTATTTTGGTTTCTAGTTTCAACCTAAGTTCCAGGAATATATCCTTTGAAACATTTCTTATTTTTCTCGTTTGCATTCTTTATAGAGTGGCTGCATACTGAGAGGGTCGTATGCATTTTCTCTCCTTTTGTCTCCTCATTTTTGTTTAACCAAAACCATTTTCTGAGCTTCATTGACTGCAGTGTGACTGCAGTGATCAGAACTTTTAAAAAACAAATCTGACATTCTTGACTTTTACTAAAGCCAACAAATTAAGCTTAATCTACATGTGGCTTTAAGCTTCAAACGTATTGGTTTGTATTGAAGTTTAAAAAAAAAAAAAAGAAGAAGTTTAAACTAGTAACAAATGTGCAATTCTGTTCAAAAGTTTTAGATTCCTGTCCATCGTGCAATACAACCAGGGAAATGTCTGATTGGACCCAAAATCATTCTGCAGCTTGAGACAGTAGCTCCAAACATTGTGCGTTTTCTGGCAAATGTTTCCTTCAGTGCATTTATACACATTTGTTGTGATTATTTATGGCAGCAGGACAGTGTGTGTATGACTGATTTAAAATGAACAGTGTTATATAGGAACATGTCACCTCCTGCTGTGTGACTTTGGACAGAATAAAAGTAGAATACCATTAGACTTTCAACATGTGAATGAAAAACTAAGAAACAAACAAAATCTGTGTATACAGGCTCTTTATCCTGCCTAGTTCTGCTACATCTCCATAACTTTAGCAACCAGACAGGCATGTTAAACTCTAAACGTCCTCTGTTCTCCCTTTTCCTTTTCCCTTCTGTGTGTAACCCTACACAGCCTCACTGTATCTATTAAATACCGTGTGTGAGTTAAGAGAGCCGCTCTTGTTCTGCTGCCAGTCTTGTTAAGAGGCTCAGAGTTGTGTGAAAGGACCCTATTGAGGCAGCAGGGTGTTAGGGTTAACACGGTAAAGACCGCCAACAGCGTGTGGTTTCTGGATGCAGATATTCAAAGGGACACGTTATTATAACGCGTGTTGCTTATGCAGCCTGTCACACACCAAACAACCGTCTGGGTTTGTTTTTTGTGTTATAAAGCAAACTGTTGGTAAAGTTAACAGCATGTTTGTGTTTACTCATTGAGACGCTTCACTCACCCAGCGAAGGTGCTTCCTCCTCTACTCCAGCTCCACTTTGCTCCTTCAGATCTTCTTCCCCTGCTGGAAATGACACAACAGTTGCACCTATTAAACAAATATGCAGCAACGTGAGTTTGACTCGCTCTCGTCTCCGTCCTGTCATGCTTTGTTCCTGGCACACGAGCAAAACAGGAAGTGTTTCTGCTGTTAATTGGTGAGGCTCCAGCTGTGTGCAGGAGCTCGCTGAGCTTTGACGGGCCGAGTGGCAGCACAAGAGCGATGACAGAAGAAGAATGCAGGCCGACCGCTCTCCTGTGGTATCGGCCCATCAGTACTGTGCAGTTGCATGGCGCTCTGTGTTGTACTGTTTTTATAGCGCCGTGTCTGAGGTGATCGGCAAGATTCATTTAGTTTCACCTTCGTGAGTGAATGAGGTATCAAAGGTCCCGGTGTAGTGAGACACACTTTCTGACCACACAGGACAGTTTTATTGATGTTTCAGAGCAGATTTAAGGTCTTCACTTGTACAGCATCTGTGTTTTTGTGCTTTGATCAATCGTAGGTGATTGACCTGGTGGCCCTCACTTTATTAAAGCCAAGAGCAGCTTTGAGTTTGCGTGGTATCAGCTGGCACGGCACAAACGGACCTCACTTTTTGTGTTTTTAATGATTAGCGGTTCGTTATCCGTGACCACGGAACAATCTGTGCTCTTGTTGCTTTGTGCAAATAGGACATTAACTAATATCATATGTTATTTCTGAGTGTGGTTATGGGATCATAAACATGAGTTGGTTTTTGGGAAAACCCAAACATAACGTGACCGCTTGATAGATGTTTCATTAGTGGGAGATGTTTGCCTGAAAATAGCTTCTACATTTCTTTCCAGTGGCAGGCATTTTCATTTTTTTGTAATTGATTTAGCGCGTGGTCATAAAACAGTTTCAGACATAATTAGATGAGATACACAGATTTTTTTTCTCTCGCTGCCATTTATAAAGCCCAGGCTGACTGCTGACTGTAGATCTTTTCATACTGAACACACTGGACTCAGTCTTCCAGCGTGTTTCCACTGAGCGGCGGTTTCAAGCCATATTTCATATAGCTAAGCTCTGAGTCATGCAGGATGTGAAAAACAAAACCCCAACAGCTACATGCTATACCTGGTTGTGTAACACCTGAAGCCTTCACTTTGTATACGCTGTCCCTGCATTGCTCTGCGTTGCGTACTCAGAGTGTAGTGTTTGCGTCTGAAAATAACTGGACAGGGCTCGGTTTGGCTCGCTGAGCCGTGTTGAGGCCTTCGCTGCTCTCTGCTTCTCTTGTTTATTTGTCTGCCAGCGTTTTGCACAACTGCACAGAAGCTGTTGTTTTTTTGTGTGCGTAGTGTTCATGTTTCTCTGTTTACGTACACTTTGCGCAGGTAAATGCATGCACACTGGTGGCTGAATGTGTTGGTAACCACCTCGGTGTGTGGAGCTGCCGGGACTCTGGTGAGGTGACCCTGTCGCGGTCAGTTTCCCAGAGGTCACTGTGTCTCCCTCTCAGAAAATCCCTTCACTGCACTGTAAATATTTAGCTTTCAAAGTGGTACTCGACACTCAAAATAGATGCAAATCGTCTTGAGTGACTGTAGCACTTTTCTAAAAGACAAAACTGTTGACAACAATATTTCTAGCCTCGGTTTTCTTTAATAGCGTGAATGCCTCTTCCACATCTGTCTGTGAGCTGTTGGTCTTTAATTAGTGCAGACTGCGCACTACCAAAACATCGTAGTATCTTTTGACCTCCTGGAACCTCTTATTTTCTTTCTTTTCGCTATTATTGGTTTACTTTGATATCTATTCTTTCTCTGGAGGAGCTATTTATTTCAGTCATTCCCTCATTTCCTATTTCGGAGCTCTGATATGTCTCAGTCTTTCCATCCACTATAATTTTCTTCCTTCCTCTGTGTTCATACGTTAAACATAAATGTCACCTCTCCCTGCTTCTCCTCTGTTTTTCCTTCTCTCTCCGTGTCACTGCCTCTCTGCGTCCTCATGTGGTTTAATCTTTCTCAAAGCAGGACCGAGCTAAGCAGTCTGGCATTAATGTTGGAACTGCTTTGTTGTGGCATCATGTGAGGCTGCCAACACGCTAACGTCCAACGTACAGTCAATATACTGCATCAGCTTCCAACAGTCCGAGCTGAACCTGTTGAAGGAGAGCCGGATAAGCAGAGAAACGGTTTTTTGTTTTGCTGTAGGTGTTTGGTTTTTTATGTGACACGCTCTGGTGCTTTTTGCTATGTGAATGTGTAGCTGTGACAAGCCGTGACTTGCGGCCCTGCTGTCACAACCATTTGCCTCCTGATTGCAGTGTTGAGTGACTGAGACTCAGGCTGATGTGTTGTAGCATTTACATATTACAGATGTAAGCTTTTGTGTGCACGCATGCACAGATTTGTCTCTCAGGCTTCCTCTGGCTGTCCAGCAGTAGACAGCGCCAGATAACAACACTATCGGTGCCCCCTCCGTCTGTGACGGATATAGACCCGAAGGAGAAGCTGTCGTAACGAGGGCAGCTCTGTGCGTACGTGTCGGCTCGGATGTACGACGTGACTACCTGAAAGTGTGTTAATGTCACCACGTTCTGAGATGAAGAAGGTCTCAGACACACACCAACCCACACACACACACATCTTATCGTTTAATCCATATGCAGCAGAACCTGAAGAGTTAATGTTCACCTCAGCCCTTGTTTGTATAATTTTCATTGGTTATTAATGACTGACTCCGTCTTTTCCACTTCTGGTTTCGGTCAAACAGTACAGGCGTGTTTGTGTGTCTGTGCATGTGCCCTTACTCTGCTCTTGCCCAGTAAGATCTGGTTCAAGGCTCATTTCCTAATTACAGTGTTGGCCAGAAGTAATTACAACCTTAGATTAAGAGCCATTTCTCTTTTTCTGCAGCCCCACTGAAATGCAGCAATTTGCGGTAGCTTTCTGGGATGAGCATCCTCCTTCTCATCCTCCCTCATTCTCCATCTGTCTCTGCTTCTCTCTCTCTCTCTCTCTCACTACTTCACTGCAGTCGCTTTAAGAATTTGAGGGATTTTTGGCTCTTTGCACATTTTCCATCAAAGTGAGAGGATTAAAAAATGGCCGAGAGTTTAGTGGAATGTAAAGCTTGACGAGGGTAGTTTCAGTCAAACCTGTGAGATCTGACTGGGCATGTGTGTGTCTCTGTGGATGTGGACGCCGAGGACAGCAGTTATTTGGGGTTTCTGCTCCGGCTGGGGCCTCCAAAGCCCTCAGATCGCTTCGCATGTGTGTGTATATTTATGCAAGGTTTTGAAGTGGTTCTTCTGAACGCATCATTTGGCTGCATCGGCGAGCTCTTCTTCAATTTAGCTTGGCAGGCGTACGGGCTGGGGTTTGCCTCCACATACCGCTGCTTCAGCATTGATGTTTGAGGCTGAGGCCTTTGAAGCTGGGGTTTTATTTAAGATGCCTCCTATAGGAGCAGCTCTGGCTCTCAGCTGTCAACCAGCACCTCTGCTGTGCTACACCTGGGGAAGGGACGCCAGCCTTAAGCTCTTGAATTCGCTCTCTCATTCCTTGCTAATTGCGATGAGACCTCAGTTTGGGTTTGAGAAAAACAAACACACACACACACACGTTGGCACACTTATTCTAACTTTCTGCCCTGTCGACTCCCCTTTCCCTGCCTGCTGCGTGAGCCTGTGTTCCTCTCCGACCTCCACCTTCCCCAGGCCTCCTCGCCTCGGCACCTGACTTTTAACCTTTTAATCCTTTGAATGCAGAGGCTAAGATGCTTCAGGCACTGCCCCTAATTGGTGTAAAATGGAGCTCTGTGGCTGGACATAGAAAAGTGTTGTTTGAATCAGTAAAACTGCAGGAATCTCTCGCTGCTGTCAGACGTCCATCAGATCATTTAGTCGAGTCTCGGAACAAACAAATAAAATGGTCAGTCACCGTCTGCAGCAGATTTAGACATCAGTGCTCTTTCCCTCCCGAGCTCTTTGGCACAGATAATGAAACGCCAGCCTCGATTTTGTAAAATAACAACAGAAGTACTGGCTGACACAATGCTGCCAACCAGATCCTGGATGAATAGCGCGGTTTCAACATCACACGTCACATCTCGGTGGGGTGACAGCGGGCCTGCGCTTAATTGCTTAAATTGGGTTCTATGACAGAGGGCTCCGTCGCCTGGGCCGGGCTTCCCGTCCGCAGACCGAGAATGTCCCATAGGGCCGCGATAATCCATCCAGCATGCATGCATGTCTCGCCTAATGTTCACACCAGCACGCACAACTGCACATTTAATCGTCAAAGTGTCACCATGTGTTGTGCAACTAATTGGACAAGCTGCGACTTTAATTTCACATCGGAGGTGAAGAGACGCAGCGAGAACCTCACCCGGTCTCACATTCACTCGCTCTCTGCTCATCCTTTTTACCCCTCAGACTTCTTTTAAACCTTTCTGTCAGCGGTGGGAAGTGTGCGAGTGTCAACAGGTGACTTTACTAACACAACAGAGGAGCAGAGAGCTGTAGAAAGTAGCTACGCTTCAGACTTTCCTCACTACATCAAGCTGTGCACACGAGTGCTCTCCAGTAAACTGAAAAGTTACTGTCTGTACATCGCAGTCGCCTGAAAGTTCTCCACATTAGTTGCAGGATAATTGGCCTCCTGTGGCTGCTGGCCTAATATAAACAGATTATACGCTGTCGATGATGACAGTCTGTAAGGAAACAAGCGGTGCACGGATGAAGGGTTAGTTACGGTGGCTATCGGAGTGGTTTGTGTTGCTTGTTTGCCCCCCAGAAAGGATTAGGCGATTTGTTGTGTCTGTTTGTGGGGGCGTGTAAATGCTGAGAGCTGGAGGGAAGACGACTGTTCTTCATGAGTTAAGCATGTCAAGCAAAGACATATGCTGCGATTTTTTTTAGCCTGTTTCAGAGATTCCAGGTGGATTCTGGAGCTTCTCATTGTCCCTGAGAAGTTTGAAAACACACGTTACTGCTGTGAGATTATGTCGTTAACGCTGGTCTGATCAGTTTTGATTGTTTTATTTTTTTAATTTGGAAAGCTAAGAAGCTATGAGCAGGAAAGAAGCGATGCTGTGATGGCTTGTTTATTTACTTTTGGGTCTAAACGCGTTGAGTCATGTCACTTCACCGGAGGTCAGTTTATTGCTGCAGCAGGTCACTCAGAGATTTAATCTTCCAGGAATTTGACCTCATCGCTCATTGCTCTGCTGCACGCCTCTTGATTTCTGTTCCTCACATCGGAGCAGCTTCACCTCTGCAGTGAAACGCCTTCAGCTAAAAGTCAAACGAATTAGCTGTCAAGCCAACTTTATAGCTTTTACATGCTTCAATCAAAGCACTATAATAACGACGTTAATTAGTCATTGGTAGAGCAGCTGCAGCTTTGACAGACGTCTTTAATACTGACCTGTAGTTAGAGGTTTCCTGTCAGTTCAGGTTTAAATGAATAAAAGAGGCTTTAGTCTTGATTTCCTCAGCAGTTTTGTCTTTATGCTGAACAGTCAATAAAACTGACAGAAACTGTGAAATGTTCAAACCAACTCAAGGTAGCTGACAGCTCAGTGAGCTGCAGCATCAGTCACTGATATCATTCATGATTTCCAGTCAAATAGTGCAAATGTGATTTAAAGAGAATCTGTTTTTGACCTCAGCCTGCAGAAATAACCTGAGCACACTGTGCATGTGTGACCTCTGAGCTGCTCGTGTCCTGTTGAACTGTGTGTTGTGGGACGCTCCCTAGTGTGGTTCCAAAAACAGCTGTCCTCTGCGGTCCAGACGCTCGGCTCGGCCCTGCGTGCTGCACGGCGTCCTGCGGTCCAACACCAGCCCGCCTCATTACCGCCCCGACGGCTCCTTCTGCTCCGCGCACACGCTGCAGTTTAACGTTTCCCAAATGCAGAGAAGCCTCGTTTCGCCGCTGTTATCTGGCGATCTGCGGTGTTCGCGGAGCCGCAGCACCCAGAAACCTGCTGAAGCATCCTGGAGAGAACACTGGTTCTGTGTGTTTCACCTGGGATGCGGCGCGTTTACAGAAAACCCGAGAACGGGTTGTGTAACATTAAAAGTGCGTTAAAAGCAACACGCCTTCAGCACAACACAGACTCTGAGTTTGCTGATTGTTCCCTCTTATTTTTGCAAACACAACTCAGCCTTATATATGAAGAGGACGTGAGCCCGAAGAAGAGTTTTGATTATTAACATCCAGTTAAATAATGAATCCATTAATTTGTCCCTAATCTCCACATATTCCACCAACACAATCCTGTCCACGCGTCTTTACGCAGCCCTCGGCCCTTTGCCGACTGCTAGAGCTCAGAAAGCTTTAAGTTCTTATTCCTGTTCTATTAGTCAAAGCAGGAAACTCTTACCCTGAACTTTGGAGGAGTAAAGTTGGAAGCGCAGCTTGTGTGTTGATCCAAGCAGCGAAGTTCACCGATGTAACTCCAGACCTGGTACTTTTCCGTGTGCGCGCTCTTTTAATAATAAAAAAAAAGTTGTGAACGTGTTGAACTTGTAACGAACGAGCTTCATCAAATCCTTGGAGAGGTGCAGCAAGCCTCCACGTCAAGGAATGCGCTCCAGCAGTGAGTCCCCGGACAAAAAGCGCTTTATGGTGAGCTGAGTGGAGCCGAGCGGAGGGAGGAGCGAGGCGCACTGACCGCAGAGCAGCAGCAGCAGCAGCAGCAGCTCACCTTGCAGCCTGGCTGAAGGCTGAGGACACATTCCAGCCTCCTCGCTTCACTATATCTTAATTCCTACCTGCATGACCTGTTCTGAGCAGGAGACACGACTGCTTTCATTAGTTACTGTACCACTGGAACGACTGTTTCAGCTCATGTGCTCGTTTTACTTTCCAGTGAAGTTCTGCAGAAGCAAAAGCAAGAGGCTCAACTTTAACAGAGTTTACAGACAAATACAATGGATTCATTCACAGACTGACACATGCATGTTGTATATGACAGTCTCCTACGACTTGGTTTAAACTGCTCGCTGTTAATTTACAGAACCTGGAAATATCTGCACCTTTATGCACCTTATTTTGCACTGAACCTGCATTGTTTTTTCATATATGTTCAGCAATGTGCAAAATCCAGAAGTGCAACATCAGTTACTGTTTTTATAGTTTTTAATACACCAAATAATCTATTTATAGAAGAATAATCTATCCCACAGTTTTCAGAGATCATTTTTTTTCACATTTCTGAGTGTAATTTAAAATGTTTCTGATGGTGTGAATGTGCTGGCTCTGTGCAGTGACAGAAAGGAACTATGTTCAGTCGTATTCTATTCCATCTACGCGATCTTTAATCATAAAATATGCAGTTACATAAGTTGTTTTATCTGTTTATGTCAGTGTTTTTTATCGTATCTGTTAACGCGCTTCATCCGTCCAGCGACACACGAGGGTCTCCTCAGTGTACATTAGCACATATGGTGGCTTCATTCACGGAGGTATCTCCAAGCTGAGAAAGCTATCAGATGGAGCCGGCAGCCTGCTTCAGTGTCAGCCAGTCACCACGGCACAGTAAGGCGATATCTCCCAGGAACTGTGTCACTCTGATGTGTGCTTTTAGCCACATGTCACAGAACTACACTTGTCCCTCATATGTCTGTCATGGTCTGACCTACACATTCCTGCAGAGCTTCTGTTTTCTCATCCGAAAGTGTAAAAATTAATTGAAACCAGGCCAGATTTCTCATTGTGGCAAACCCTGGTACAGGTAAAGAGACTTTGAGAAGGAAATGATTCCTCAGTTTCTCGTTGTGCCTCCTGAATCCGCCCCCTCCTCGGGATCCTCTGGACACTTGTTGAGCCATGCTTTTTTTGTTTTTTTACAAGTCTCCACACAATCTGTGGCCGGTTCTCCTCCTGCTCCTACTGTAGCACTTATTATGGATGTATCTCACAGTGCCATCTGCAAGGCATTACAGTAAATTACAGGAATAGAGAAATGATTTCACGCAGCGTCCAGATGTAGCTCCTCAGTTGCTGCTAAGTTTTACTTGTTCAGGAGAAATTTTTAAAAAAGAAGAAGTCTTACCCTGCTGTACTTTATCACACGTGTTTGAGGCTCACAAAGTCGGTGCTTGTGCTCCGTCGCTTTCTCCACCTCATTTGCTGGCTCTGTGTAAACCTCTGAGCTTATCCAGGTATGTTGAAAGGGAATTATTTATGTTCAGCCTGTGTGAGGAGGACCAGCGTCTCCAGCAGACCGACCTGCTCAGAACTTTAAGATGAAAGCCACTTGACAACTGCCACTACTTTTAATTAAGATGGAATAATAATAAATTAACACATTTGGAGTTTCACCTCAGCCTCAGCAGCACCTTCAGATTTTCACACGTTAAGTTTCAGACATTTTTATTGGTCTCCGGGCCGCGAGCACAAGAATTTTCTTACTGCGTTTTGTTCATTCATTTGAAGCTGTTATATGCTTTTTCTGTATAATGTAGACTTCCCCCACTATTAAATCCACATGACTCCAAACAGCCACATGTCTAAATATATAGAACCAGAATCAGCCGTTAAAATGTGTAATTTGTGAGTAGTTGCTGAACATAAACTCCTTTATCTGTATCCTCGGTGATATCAGCTCTTGTGGAGATTCGTCATCCATCAAAATAAAGAAAATAAAGTAATGCCTGAGAATCTACATCTTTCACTTTTTAATCTTTTCGACCATCAGACTACATGTTTCCTCTCTTACTCTGTAACAAAGCAAGTTCTTTTTAGATATAATTTAGCTCTCCATCACTAAACAGTACGTTGTTGTTCTACCTCTTTCTGGTTAATTGTCAAGAACAAAAAGTCGTTATGTAAAATGTTCAGCTCTGCATTCGGTCGGTGGTGTAAATCTCAGTCTGGTGGCCGCCGTGCCGTCAGCATGTTGGGCTCCTGGTAAAAGATGGCGAGGCGCTTTGTAACGCTGCCCAGGGGAACCAATAACACCCTGTTCATGGTTTCAAGCATTCAGCACCATGATGGTTTTTACTTTTATTTGGAAGCAGGAATTTTCATACAAGGACCAGACTTAGACTCACTTCTCTCCAACGCTTGAGTTTTTCTTTTTCATGCACAAACTCATGCCGAAGCCTTCCACCACTTTCCCCTCTCCCACTGCTCCGTGACACTTCACTTGCTCCAAAAATTTGCTTTATCTTTTTTTTTTTGCCTCCATGATTTGTAGTAACTTTTAAACCGTGTTTCAACTTTTATTTCAAGTTCTGCTTCACTCCACATTTCTGGATCTTGGAGGCGTTTCTGTTAGATCTTACACAGGATTTACTGTTTACAATTACACCATCCTGAGCTTCCTTCAGAAGACGTGACAGTTCAAAGTAGCCGTGTGATTATAAATTGGATATGACGGCGAAGGCTCTGGAATAATCTTGCGACTCCACCCACAGATAGAAACACCATTTTCTTTTTTTTTTCTCCCACTTCACATCAGAGCTCATCTGAAAAGCTCATTTGACTTTTTGTTCTACATCAAATGTGCGATGATGATCAAAAATAATTTGCTCTTTGTCCTTCCACTACTAAACTTGTGTTTTCACTGCCTGATAAACTTTATTGTTGCTAAACAATTCCAATAATTAATTGTCTTGAAATATGAAAATCATCAGATTTACTCATCATAGAAAATGTGCTCTTGCTTTGCGTTGATGACGGGTTTGTTTTGGATGTACAACACAAGACTTTTTTTTTTGTTGTTTTTGTTCAAAATTACCACTTTTCTTCTTTTTTTTTTTCCTACTTTTTGTGGTCTTGCTCAGTTGCACTTTATGTTGGGAGCTGAATTATGTGTTTGTTGTATGCTTGCTATAATGTGTGTGTTAGTTATGTTCGTTTTGTTATGGCATGTGAAGTTTGGTTGAGTACGTACGCCGTAAGACTGACCCATCACCGTATCAGCAGATCCTCAGAGACAAACACAGACCACTATGAGGGCACAAATATAGTCACACAACAAACTCATAATCTTGTGTGTGGACCTATTCCGAAACATGAGCGTGTGTCTTGGTTTGAGCTGTTCGTGTTGTGTTGTTCACAACATGCCTGTGGCTTTTTACTTTTAGGAGCTCCAGCGTTCAGTAGACAACAAACAAGGGAAGCGACTCCGCAGGAGAGATGGAAGCGAGTCAGTGAGAATTAGAGCAAGTTTGGGAGAAAACTTCACCACAAAATGACATTTCACTTATTCACTCACGTCTCACATTGTCACAACGAAACTGAAGTTTGCTGGATGGTGTTTTTTTTTGTTTGTTTTTTTTACGCTCCAAAAATGTCTGAAAGTAGTTTGTGCGGCACATTTTGGTTCCTAATTTCTCTTCCGTGACAAAGATCTGGTCGTTCATGTTGGAAGAAAAGTGCAAAATAGTTGCATGAGCTGCAAGAAGAAATGTCATCGGGTATTTGCTTTCTCTTGAGCTAAAAACAAAAAAAAAGCAGTTTTTATAAGCTTCTCAGTCGGCCTCAAGATGGAGGCTCAGTTGAATGTTGAGGTTTTAGTGTCTAGATGATGCGTTTTTATTTTATAGACTATTCCTTCAACGTTGGCTTATTACACCGAGCTATAGGATTGTCTATCGTTAGTAATATTTTGCAATATTCAGTGCGTGGTTCAATTAGCAGCACAAACACACAGAGAGGGTGGGGGGGGGAGTTTTGGGAATCATGCGGCAGCCTGGGAATGATTGTCAGGATTTATTCAAGCCCGGCCTCTCCCTGAGAGGCTGAGCTGAGCATGTCTTTTCTTTAGTTTATGTATGTGCATATGTATTGGCATCTGTGTTCATTTGTGTTTTGTGCACATGCACGCCATCCCCCTCCGTCCACGTCGCCACGTCTCGCCGTCACACATAAACGTGGTCTGACGGCAGCATGTGTGGGCTGGACCCTCTTCGACAAGGCCCGGACTGCTTTTCTTCTCAAATGTCCATGAGAAGTGTTGCCACGCAGAGCAGAGACCTGGGAACGTGCACGGTTAATTAACGGCTGCCATGGGAACCTGAGAGAGGAGGGATGTGTGTGCTCAAAGCAGAAGTTTGTGTGAGAACAATCAGTTTATGCTGTCATCATCGAATGCACAGCATCAGATAAAAGCCAAGTGTTGACTCTTCCCACCTGTCCTCTGCTTCACTCTGTGTACGTCCGTCTGCTGCCCATAAAGCTGTCTTCTTTAGAGGAACCTGTCGTCGGTCGCACAGCTACAAGTGCTAATTTTACTGTCCTGATTATGTCCTGTAATTCATCCTTGGTTAATCAGACCCCAGTGTGTTTCCTGCTGTGAACTTCATGTTCACGGTGAAAAGGGCTCCAGTTGTTTACCCAAAATATCTTTTGACCCTTTCTCACAGTCGGGGGGAGGGCTGCGCTAACGAACCTTTGCTTTGGAGAACGCAGACAAGATGTCACAATTTAAAGAAATCTGACTCCTGTTTGCCGTCTGTTTATTGTTTTGTTTTTATGCCTTTTTTTTTTTTTTTTTCATTATTACTATCGGGACTCTTTGCTGTTTCCCTGTGGCCTGGTTACGGCATTTGTGCCTCTTTGGAGCGAGCTGAGAGCTTCGTTTGAGCCCAGTTATGTCAACATGAAAAGGCCCTCAACACA